CTCTGACAGCTGGAAGGAGTGAGTGCAGATAAGCCATGGGTGTTTCTAGAAGTGGCAGCTGCCTGGGTCACAGACAACCATGTCCACAGGTCATTCCTCATGCCTTGGTCCTGCTGACTTCTGGGAAGCTGAAGGGGTCAGGCAGGCAAGTGACTTGACCCAAGACAAATCTGTCTGGCTGCAGGTGCACAAAGATTAGAATAAAAATTAAGCCCTTTTCCACACTTCCAGCCACTGTGGCCCTTCCTTCACCTTCCAACACAGCCTCAGGGCCTTTGCACTTCCTGTTCCTTCAGCCTGGAACACCTTTTCTCTGGAGCCTCCAATGACTATCTGCTTCTCACAATTCAGATCTCACCTCAAACATCACCTCCTCAAGGTCGGGTGCAGTGGTTCATGCCTGTAATCCCAGCACCCAGGCACAGTGCCTGATCTCAGGAGTTCCAGACCGGCCTGAGCAAGAGCTAGACTCCATCTCTAAAAATAGCCCAGGTGTTGCGGCAGGCACCTCAACAGGTGTTTTTTGAGACTGTCTCAAAAAACAAACAAAAATCACTTCAGAGTGGTCCTCCTAGATTACACTAAGGCAAGGGGCCTTCCCGCTTACTCTCCCCTTCATTCCCCAGCTGACTTTCTCACACTCTGCAATTTAACTTACCGATTCAACGTTAGCTCCGCCCCTTCCTCCTCCGCCCCCACTCCCCGGCGCATTGCAGCTACAGGAGGGCAGGACGGTGTCTGATGTGTCCACAGGTGTGTTCCACGGTCGGTGCTCAATATATTTTGAATGAATAAGTGAATGAATCTGTAGCTTTGGGGAATGAGTACCCCAAACTGAATTCCAACATACCTGATCTTGGCTTTCCTAAAGGCCAGCTCCTCTTCGTTGCCAAAGTCCAGGGACACATCCTCAGTATCGTCCACCAGGGCCTGGGGAGACGCCAAGAGAAGGTGGCAGCCCCCATCCCCAGCACAGTCCCGCCCGCCCTGCACTCCCAGTGCTCTCCACTACACACCTTGCTGAGTTCCCAAGGGTCCCTCCGAGCTGGCGGGCCCCTCCCCTTCGGCTGCGAGGCAAGGCCTTGTCCTCCCTCTCGACCACCCGGGTCCAGCCCGCACCAGGCTTCGGGCTCGGCGTGTCCCTGCTGCCCCCGACTCCTCCCAGCGCCAGCATCCCCGCCGCCCTACCTGCTTCATCCCGCCGGGAGCACACCTGGCGCGCAGGCCCCAGACTCCCCGGTAGCCCAGGGGCTCCGATGCCTGGAGGGCCGGGGGCGAGTGGCGCACGCAGAGGGTCGGGAGGCTGCGCCCCCGGGCCGCCTCCGCGCAGGCCGCCAGGTGGGGGCGGGGCGCGCGGGCCCAGAGCGCAGTCGCGGGCGCGGGGCTGGGGTGGGAGGAGGGTCCCGGCGGGGCCAGGCCGGGGGCTAGTGGAGAAGGCGCCGGAAGGAGGGCTGAGGCAGCCAGGGAGGGCGGAGGGCGGTCTGGGGGCCGCGGACGGCGATCCTGGGAGTATTGGGGGCGGGGGTGTCAGCGAGTGTGTGATGCTCCGTGAGCGTCAAAGGAGCGAGTGACCCGGGAGCGGACGAATGTCGGCGCGGGGACGCCGCTGCCGGGCTCTGGAGCCGGCCGGTGATTGCCAGCAGTCCTTGCGTCCGGAACTCCTCGGGCGCTCGTGCGGAGCGGATTCCCAGGCCCGGCCCGGGGTTCTAGCGGCGGGAGCTGGGCCCTGGCGTCTGCCCTTCAGCCAGTGACGCTGCTGCGGCCCGTTTCGGAACCGCGGAGTGCCAGGCAGGCATGGAGCACCAAGTATTGTTAGTATAGACAGTGATTGCTTTTCTGGATGTGAAGGTCTCCCTGGTGTCTCCCTGGAAAGAAAGTCTGTCACCTGAGAGCGTCTGGCGCCCAGGACAAGGTCACACACACACACCCAAATACTAGCCTGATGGA